CAACTTTCCTAATATTAAGCACATTGCTTCTCCTTACAACAGGAGTATAGCCTACCTGGCTGGCATGAAAATGAACCACGGGAAAAGCATCCTCCATTCGCTATTTAAGTTCCTAGATTACATATATTATTTCCCGCTGCCCGTTTCTAGACAGGTGCATGATAATGGTCCATTCTAAATCAAAACAAATTTCACACATATTATTTATTTAGCGTCTGCTAAATGACTAACATGTAAATGTATATGTAAAGACAAGATTAAATCAAGAATAGTGTGATGGGTCACAATTTTAGCCTATCACTTGGGAATTATATATGACAATGATGCCCATCTTAAGGCAGGAAACAGCGCATGCTTTTTTTCCCCAACACCTCATGTAGCTTAGCCCATAGGCCTATATGTTTGGATAAGGTTTGTATCACAACTAAAGTGGCCAAATAATTTCTTAAAATGAAGCACATTAATCCGCTTTACAACGGGTGTACAGCCTAACTGGCATACATACGCAGCGCGTGGGTTTCAAGATTGGGGAAGATCATTTTCACCATAAAAATGCACCTTTATAATAAAAGCATTACATGCATAAATCGCATTTGCGGTCACTTTTGAGAATATTGTTTTCCTGCTAATGGAACATTTGCGCTTATAGCCTAGTGCCGTGTGCGCATTGCTGCGCTTATAATGTGAAGAAACAGCCTAATAGTTTATCAGCATTTTAAGCTAAATGTTCTCATCTTTTGCGTCAAGCTCATTGCTTAAAACATGTTTTTTGATGGTAGTGGTTGTATTAATTTGGGATGTATCACATCCCACAATTGACCCAGACTATGTTTGGAATATTTTGTTCGTGCACAGAATAGGTCAACTTTTTTAGCCTACTATGGGGGATAGTAGATTGACATAGGCTAGTGCTTTTGTTGTTCATTAGGCCTATGAAAAGTAAATGAGGACAGTTCTTCCAATATCTTCAATATGCGCCTCGGAATTGGATAAGGACGTGTGCAGTTGCGTCCCCGATGTGTCTGTCTTCACTTGTAGCCTGTGAGAAAGACCCGATCACGTGACAGAGAGCCATGTGAGAGGTACTTCAGCACGAAGCCGGGAGAAGGGAATTATAATTATTATATTCAGCCCAAGAGCCCAATGGCCACTGGCCGCAAAAGGCATGGATTTGTTTAGGGGGTATTGCGGCCACACAAAGGGGAAGCAGCCGGGAAATTCCAGGCATTATCAAGTGCTTGTCAAATTGTCAAAAAAAATGTGTACAACCTGCACAAAAAACAAAGCAGAGCTTTGCCTTTCATGCAACATTTTTGAAATCATCATCATTAGAGTCCACCATGCAGCCTTAGAATGTATTAAAAATCTAAACATACAGTGCATTCGGAAGGTATTCAGACCCCTTTACTTTTTCCACTTTGTTAAAAATTGATTAAATTGTTTTTTTCCCCCCTCATCAATCTACATACAATACCCCATAATGACAAAGCAAAAACAGGTTTTTCGAAACTTTTGCAAATTTATTAAAAATAAAACAACTGAAATATCACATTTACATAAGTATTCAGACCCTTTGCTATGAGACTTGAAATTGAGCTCAGGTGCATCCTGTTTCCATTGATCATCCTTGATCCGAATGCACTGTATAGCCCAACATTTGAATCACAACTTAAGTTACATAAATAACTCTAAATTAAGCACAATCATTGAGAAAATATCCTTTCTACTTTGTTCAGCTATGTTCAATTGTATTCTTCATACTATGAAATAATATAAAATAACTCCACAGAATTCTAAGCAAATCTTGTCTGCTAAATGAACTAGTGTAGCCCACAGCCATATGGTATAGCCAGATCAGGGCCTAACATAAGGACAACTCAGAGTATGCTGTTCTGTTCTTCTGAAATTGTCACGCCCTGGCTCTGGGGACTCTTAAATGTTGAGCCAGGGTGTGGATTTTCATTGTTTAGTTTTCTATGTTTTAGTTCTAGATCGTGTTGATCTATGTTGGCCAGGGTGGTTCCCAATCAGAGACAGCTGTAGCTCGTTGTCTCTGATTGGGGACCATACTTAGGCAGCCTGTTGGCACCAGTTAGTTTGTGGGATCTTGATCCGTAAAGGTTTGGTGTGTGTAACCTCAGGACTTCACGTATCATTGGTTTGTTGTTTTGGTTTTGTTCGTGTGTTAAGTACTAATTAAAGATGTACGCTTATCACGCTGCGCCTTGGTCCGTCTCATCTAATAACGATCGTGACAGAAATAGACTACATTTTCTTCATATCATGTTTCTTTAGACCAGTCTAAAATAAATAATGGATTTATTGTGATGTTGTAGGCTATATTAAATGGATTTATTAGACTGCAAATGTAGATGTTCCAAAGGTCTGCATCAGTGGCTTGTAGGCTATGCGTGGAAGCCAGGAGATGCTAAATGTGTTTATGTTAATTAACGGTTAATCACTGGGGCCGAGCTTCCTGCCATCCAGCATCTCTATACCAGGTGGTGTCCGAGGAAGGCCCTAAAAATAGTCAGCCTCCGATGTCATAGACTGTTCTCTATGGAACCAACAGGACCCTGAACAGCTTCTACCTGCAAGCCATAAGACTGTTAAATAGTTAAATAGTTAACCAAATAGCTACCCAGACAATCTGCATTTACCCTTTTTGCACTAACTTTTTGGACTCGTCACATACGCTGCTTCTACTGTTTACCATCTGTCACTTTATTCCTAGTTGTATGTACATATCTAACTAAATTACCTTGTACCCCTGCACATCTACTCGGTACTGGTATATAGCCAAGTTATCGTTACTCATTGTGTATCTATTATTACTTTTATTATTACGCATTTTACTTTTCAATTCTTTCTCTATATTCTTTCTCTTTGCATTGTTGGGAAGGGCCCGTAAGTAAGCTGTTAGTCCACACCTGTTGTTTACAAAGCATGTGACGAATAAGATTTGATTTGACAGTACATCATACAACACATAATTACACCACTACATATCTACAATACAAAATGTATAATAACCACAATATTACAATGTATGTGTGTGTAGAGTGTGTGTTAGCGTGTGTGTGTGTGTATGCGTCTATCTGTGTGTGTCTCTTCACAGTCAGCGTTGTTCCATAAGGTACAGTTTTATCTGTTTTTTAAATCTGATTTTACTGCTTGCTGCTCTGTTCTGGGCCAACTGTAATTTGCCTATGTCCCTGTTTGTGTCACTTGACCATATGACTGGGCAGTAGTCCAGGTGCGATAAAACTAGGGCCTGTAGGAGCAGAGCAGTGCTTTATATGGGACAGACCTTTCCCCATCTTAGCTACTGTTGCATCAATATGCTTTGACCATGAGTTTACAACCCAGGGTTACACCAAGCAGTTTAGTCTCATCAACTTGCTCAATTTCCACATGATTCATTATAAGATTTAGTTCAGGTTTAGGGTTTAGTGAATGATTTGTCCCAAATACAATGCTTTTAGTTTTGAAATATTTACAACTAGCTTATTACTTGCCACCCCATTCTAAAATAGACTGCAGCTCTTTGTTAAGTGTTGCAGTGATTTCACTTGCTGTGGTAGCTGTAGTGTATAATGTTGAGTCATCACATAGACACACAGACTTTACTCTGCCAGGTCATCAGTAAAAAAAATAGTACCAGCGCTGTACCAAGCACTTACAGCAAATTGTAATACTGTACCCACAATCATACATACGCTGAACAAAAATATATACGCAACGTGTAAAGTATTGGTTCCATATTTCATGAGATTAAATAAAAGATCCCAGAAATTCCATATGCACAAAAAGGTTCTCCGATTTTGTTCAAATTTGTTTACATCCCTACTAGTGAGCATTTCTCATTTGCCAAGATAATCCTTCCATCTGAGGTGTGGCATATCAAGAAGCTGATTAAACAGCATGATCATAACACATGTGCACCTTGTGCTGGGGACAATAAAAGGCCACTAAAATATGCAGTTTTGTCACACAACACAATGCCACAGATGTCTCAAGTTGAGGGAGCATGCAAATGGCATGCTGACTGCAGGAATGTCCATCAGAGCTGTTGCCAGAGAATTGAATGTTCATTTCTCTACCATAAGCAGCCTCCAACTTCATTTTAGAAAATTTGGCAGTACAACCAACTGGCCTAAACTCTGCAGACTACGTGTATGGCGTCGTGTGGGCCATACAGTGCCCCATGGTGGCGGTGTGGTTATGGTATGGGCAGGCATAAGCTACGGACAACAAAGACAATTGCATTTTATCAATGGCAATTTGAATGCACAGAGATACCATGATGAGATCCTGAGGCCCATTGTCGTGCTATTTACCTCATGTTTCAGCATGATAATGCACAGCCCCATGTTGCAAGGATCTGTTCACAATTCCTGGAAGCTGAAAATGTCCCAGTTCTTCCATGGCCTGCATACTCACCAGGCATCTCACCAATTCAGCATGTCCAAAAAAAAGCCATTGAAGAGGAGTGGGACAACATTTCACAATCAACAGCCTGACCAACTCTATGCGAAGGAGCTGTGTCGCGCTGCATGAGGCAAATGGTGGTCACACCAGATACTGACTGGTTCTGATCCACGCCCCTACTTAGTTTTTTTTAAAGGTATCTGTGACCTACAGATGCATATCTGTATTCCCTGTCATGTGAAATCCATAGATTAAGGCCTAATGAATTTATTTCAATTGACTGATTTCCTTGTATGAACTGTAACTCAGTAAAATCTTTGAAACTGTTGCGTTTATATTTTTGTTCAGTATTTATCAAATGACATGTCTGAAGTTCAAGGCATTAGAAAGATGAAACACTGAAGTGTTGATAAATAAATTGGTTTACTCCTATTAAAACACATTACTTGGAATGAAAAATGGGACATTGACCCTTTAACTAATCAGCTAACTGAATCAGTGTTGGCATGATTGCCTTGATGTCTCCACACCTGGTAAGCAGATGGTGAACAATTTTGAAAATGTCACGTCTAGTTGTCTACCGTCTTCATCTTCTTCAGATCCAGCGAGTACTTCAAGAGAGCTGAGAGAATGAGGGAGGGCGGCCATGTGTTTGTCTGTCTATCATTGCTGCACAGTCCAGCCCTCCCACAGATGAGACTGAACTCTTGTAGCCACAACAGAGGCCCCATCCACATGTTCTCGCACTCACTACTGGGTCCTCCTCCCACTGACCCAGACACAACCCTGTAAACTAAACCCTACCACACACGGCAGACAGACAACAGTATGTGTGTGTTCCAACCCATCACTCACCATTTCTGATCCACGCTGACCAGAGAGTGGTAGAGCACCCACAGCATGGCCTGACAGCGCCATCCCCACCAGAGCGATGCCATCCATGTCCATCCAGGAACCACACGATAGAGGGGGTGTAGGCAAAGGCAGACATATCGATTGTAACTACATAGAAGATGGTCTGGGAGCCAGTGCATCATAACTCGCTACATTGCCAGAATTTGTCACACTAACTTACAATAGATGAGCGCAATGGAACTAGAAGCACAACTCGAGTGAGCCAGTAAGTCACGGTTTGCAATGTAACCAATAATCTTCCTCATTTGGGTCGCTCTCTTCGATATTTCTACATATCTTTTTCTCAAAGTGCTTTCAGCACTCTCACTGGGAGTCGCCATGTTGGTTGACGCTTTAAACACTACATGATAGGAGGGCCCGTTCAAGAGCGTTGAGACAGGCAGCATCGTTGCAGTTGGAAAAAAAACTACATTCCCAATTGGAAAGGATAGCCTATCGCACATGCCTACTGCTATAGTCCTACCCGTTAAGGGAGATGATTTTGCAGCACAAATGTACAATAGCCTAGAGACCCCTGCACCGGGGCATCATGCACTCCAAAAATCAAAGGACAAAGTGGATGGCAGGGGTTTCCAGAGGGGGGCTAAGCCCCCTGTGCAAATTATTTCAAACACCTGAAACTGCTTTCTGTAATCTAGAGCCATAATAATCATGCTTTAGTGTCAAATAAGTTTATATATTCTTGCATATCTAAATAAATATGCTTCTCTGCAAAAAATCCAGGTGAAAGAAAAAGGAATGAGAGTCTTACTCAGTACATTTAGTTATTGCTTGCTTTTCTAAAGTCTACCAACCTTGCCAGCATGTATGCCAGCAAAGATAGTTAGGTTCCCAACCATCTTGTCTATCTGGGCTAGCTAAAGCGAGGTGGCTAGTAGTATTAGAGAAACCCCCCAAAAATTGTTTTTAACACAGGACAAATCTGAAGATGTCAGTCGTATGATTAGTGGGCCTTCTCTTCAATTTCGTAGTAATGACATCGTGCAAAAGTGACAGGTTCATTTGGATCTGGGTTGAGCAGGCAGAGTGAAGAGACCATACAGTTTCAAACATTTTTAATAGGGCATATTGCTCAGGTGTGGCACCTCATTTACATTTAAGTCATTTAGCAGATGCTCTTATCCAGAGCGACTTACAAATTGGTGCATTCAATTTAGGATAGCCAGTGGGACAACCACATCTTGATCACAGTAAGTACACTTCTTCAAACAAGCAGCTGTGCGCAAAGTCAGTGCAATCAGGGACAACGACATCTCGATCACAATAAGTAAATTTCTTTAAACAAGTCAGTGCTAGCAGGTGAAATAAGTCAGGTGTTAGTTTAGACAAAAGACAGTGGTAGTAAGGGGGGGGGGGGGGGGGGGAGTAGAAGGATTACTATCATACTATTCCAGGTATTCCTTAAAGAGGTAGGGTTTCAAGTGTCTCAGGAAGGTGGTCAGTGACTCCACTGTTCTGGCGTCGGAGGGGAGCTTGTTCCACCATTGGGGTGCCAGAGCAGTGAATCAGCTTTGACTGGGCTGAGCGGAACTGTGCTTCCGTAGAGGTTAGGTGGGAACTAGGAGGCCAGAGGTGGATGAACGTAGTGCCCTCGTTTGGGGTTGTAGGGTCAGATCAGAGCCTGAAGGTAAGGAGGTGCCGTTCCCCTCACAGCTCCGTAGGCAACACACCATGGTTTTTGTAGTAGATCGAGCTTCAAACTGGAAGACCAGGTGGAGTGTGCGGGAGGGAAGGACGGGGGGTGACGTGAGAGAAACTTGGGAAGGTTGAACACCAGACGGGCTGTCCAGCGTTCTGGATATGTTGTCCGGGGTTTAATTGGCACAGGCAGGAGCCCAGCCAACGCGAGTTGGCAGTAATCCAGACGGGTAGATGACAAGTTGACCTGGTTTAGGACCTTTGTCCGCTTTTGTGTAAGGTAGGGTCCGTACTCTGCAGAATGTTAGTTAGAGCATGAACCTTGCAGGATCGGGCACCGCTTTGATGTTAGTGGAGAACGACAGGGTGTTGTCCAGGGTCACGCCAAGGTTCTTTGCACTCTGGGAGGAGGACACAATGGAGTTGTCAACCGTGATCATGGAGCGGGCAGTCCTTCCCCAGGAGGAAGAGCAGCGCCGTCTTGCCGAGGTTCAGCTTGAGGTGGTGATCCGACATCCACACTGGTATGTCTGCCAGACATGCAATTCGCCACCTAGTTATCAGAAGGGGGAAAAGAGAAAATTAATTGTGTGTCGTCTGCATAGCAATGATAGGAGAGACCATGTGAGGATATGACAGAGCCAAGTGACTTGGTGTATAGAGAGAATAGGAGAGGGCCTAGAACTGAGCCCTGGGGGACACCAGTGGTGAGAGCACGTGGTGCAGAGACAGATTCCCACCACGCCAACTGGTAGGAGCGACCTGTCAGGTAGGACGCAATCCAAGAGTGAGCCGCGCCGGAGATGCCCAACTCGGAGAGGAGGATCTGATGGTTCACAGTATCAAAGGCAGCAGATAGGTCTAGAAGGATAATAGCAGAGGAGAGAGAGTTAGCTTTGGCAGTGTGGAGAGCCTCCGTGACACAGAGAAGAGCAGTCTCAGTTGAATGACCAGTCTTGAAACCTGACTGGTTAGGATCAAGAAGGTCATTCTGAGAGAGATAGGAGAGTTGGCATGCTCAAGAGTTGGAGAGAAAAGAAAGGGATACTGGTCTTTTGTTGTTGACATCGGAGGGATCGAGTGTAGTTTTTTTTTGAGGAGGGGTGCAACTCTCACCCTCTTGAAGACGAAAGGGACATAGCCAGCGGTCAAGGATGAGTTGATGAGCGAGGTGAGGTAAGGTAGAAGGTCTCCGGAAATGGTCTGGAGAAGAGAGGAGGGGATAGGGTCACGCGGGCAGGTTGTTGGGCGGCCGGCCGTCACAAGTTGCAAGATTTCATCTGGAAAGAGAAGGGAGAAAGAAGTCAAAGCATAGGGTAGGGCAGTGTGAGCAGGACCAGCGGTGTCATTTGACTTAATAAATGAGGAGCGGATGTCGTCAACCTTTTCAAAATGGTTGACGAAGTCATCCACAGAGAGGGAGGAGGGAGGGGGAGGAGGAGGATTCAGCAGGGAGAAGGTGGCAAAGAGCTTCCTAGGGTTAGAGGGAGAGGCTTGTCATTTAGAGTGGTAGAAAGTGGCTTTAGCATCAGAAAATAGGAAGAAAAAGTAGAGAGGAGGGAGTGAAAAGATGACAGGTCCACAGGAATGTTCCATTCCAGTTTGCTTTTAGCCAATGCATAGTTTAAAATACCAAATTATACAAACCAAAACGGGCACAGGAAGTTGTGCTGCCCAGAAGGTCATTTTCTTTCAACTATTCATCTTATTACTAACTCCATTTGCACTCACCAAACCACTTGACACATGGTCTCTGCAACCAGGGCTCCACCATGCTTCCCAACTGTATTCACTCCCTGTTGTCCACTGCCTAGAACACAAAAACAGGGGGGTTTAAATACACACATCTGAAATCACATGGTACATCAATTATCCAATAGGAGCTCTTCTTGGGTTAATGAGGCAACTTGTCACACCTGTGACATAGACATGAGTATGGTTACATAAGAAGGTTACTTAAGGCACAAACAAAAGGAGGGTGTATAACGTGAACGTCTAGTAACCCAAAGGTTGTGTGTTCAAATCTCATCATGGACAACTTAAGCATTTTAGCTAATTAGCAACTTTACAACTACTTATCATGTTAGCTAACCTTAACCCTTTTAACCTAAGTCTTAACCTTAACCCTAACCATAAACCTTTAACCTAACTTCTAACCCTCACCTTAACCCCTAACCCCTAGCCTAGCTAACATTATCCACAACAAATTGGAATTCGTAGCATATCATAAGTATTGCAATTTCGTAACATATTGTATGAATTGCAATTCAGAACATATCATATGAATTGCAATTTGTAACATATCATACGAATTGTAATTCGTAACATATCATACGAAATGGATGATGGACATGAACAAATTCATACATAACATATGACACGTAACAGAATAATATGAAATGCTCTGAGACCAGGTTATGTGATGGTTCTACAGTACCGGTCAAATGTTTTAGGACACCTACTCATTCCAGGGTTTTCTTTATTGTTACTACTTTCTACATTTTAGAATAATAGTGAAGACATCAAAAGTATGAAATAACACATATGGAATCATGTAGTAAGCAAAAAAAGTGTTAAACAAATCAAAATATATGTTATATTTGAGATTCTTCAAACAGCCACCCTTTGCCTTGATGACAGCTTTGCACACGCTTGACATTCTCTCAACCAACTTCACCTGGAATGCTTTTCCAACAGTCTTGAAGGAGTTCCCACATATGCTGAGCACTTGTTGGCTGCTTTTCCTTCACTCTGCGGTCCGACTCATCCCAAACCCTCTCAATTTGGTTGAGGTCAGGGGGATTGTGGAGGCCATGTCATCTGATGCAGCACTCCATAACCCATTCTTGGTAACACCTACCCCCTCGGAGCATGCTTTACTACAAATGGTAGGGAAACCAGAGGTGTATCATGCAGCGCGGGGCAGCTGGAGAGCTGAAAAAAATCCGTAGTACAAAACACAACCTAACACCTCCTCCTCCATGCTTTACGGTGGGAACCATACATGCGGAGATCATCCGTTTACCCACATCGCATCTCACAAAGACACGGCAGTTGGAACCAAAAATCTCAAATTTGGACTCCAGACCAAAGGACACATTTCCACCAGTCTAACGTCCATTGCTTGTGTTTCTTGGCCCAAGCAAGTCTCTTCTTCTTATTGGTGTCCTTTAGTAGTGGTTTCTTTGCAGCAAGTCATGAAGGCCTTATTCACACATTCTCCTCTGAACAGTTGATGTTGAGATGTGTCTGTTACTTTAACTCTGTGAAGCATTTATTTGGGATGCAATTTCTGAGGCTGGTAACTCTAATGAACTTATCCTCTGCAGCAGAGGTAGCTCTGGGTCGTCCATTCCTGTGGCGGTCCTCATGAGAGCCAGTTTCATCATAGCGCTTGATGGTTTTTGCGACAGCACTTGAAGAAACGTTCAAAGTTCTTGACATTTTTCATATTGACTGACCTTCATGTCTTAAAGTAATGATGGACTGTCATTTCTCTTTGCTTATTTGAGCTGTTCTTGCCATAATATGGACTTGGTCTTTTACCAAATAGTTTTTTCTTCTGTATACCCTTTTGACCGGTAGTGTAGAAATGTGTGTGGCAAATGTTCTATGATGAACACAGTCCAATTCATAGCCTAACATCAGAGAAACATTTATTTTGTCTAATTAACAGTTCATT